TCAGCTTTACTGTTAAGTTTTTAGTCTAGCTGTCTTTACTCAGTGCTCTTCTGTTATTCCTGGCTAGTGGACTTAGTCTGCAGGAATGAAGGGTTATCTGTTGCACTTTTTTTTTTCTCAGATTTTCAGCAAAACCTTGGGCAATTCTCCTATCTTTTTGCATGCCAGTTTTTCTTTTACATTTGAGGGTATCACATGGGAATTCAACTCAGTGTATTCTTCTGGAATGGAAAGATATTATGGGTGGTGTTTTTCTCACCAAGCCATGACAAGGATAGTTGTGCTGGCTAGACTTCAGGAGATCCCAGAGTCCTGCTGTGGCTGCAGCGGAAACCCAGGATAAAAGACTTTTAGATTAGATGCCGATTAGACAGCTTATATAAAGATGGAAGGAACCACAAATCCTGTCTCAGCTGTAAAACCCCCAGGGATTCTCTCTCTTCTTTTCTGGTGTATTTCTTCCCAAACTTTAACCCTGAGTTTCCCGGGCTCTGTGCCCTGCAGCGGAGCAGAAGCGCTCGGTGACGTTCACGGAGGCCCAGCCTGAGGCAGCCGCGGAGCCGCCGGCACAGCAGCCGGGCTGCAGCCGCAGCAGCCCCCAGCCCAGCGGCCAGCCCGAGCCCCTCAGCAAACCTGTGCTGACCTCCTCCCCTGCCATCGTCGTGGCCGATCTGCACAGCCAGGTAACGTGACACTGCTGGCTCTGTGGCCCGTGTCCCTCCACTGCTCCCTCCCAGGCACCGGGAAGCGCTTTCATCACAGCACTGTGATGAAAGCTGGCAGGAGGGTAAAGACAGCAAACTCTCCTTCAGGCTGTTTGCTGTCAAGCGTCCTGCTTCTGCAAAGCCATTCCCTTCCAGCTCTATGCAACAAGTCTTAATTTGAAAATACATTTTCTGCATCTTCCCTTTCCATTTTCCCATCACATACAGTGTCCTTGTGGACCTAATCACCACGGCAAGCTGTCCTCAGCAGGTTTTCACAGCTTGCTCCCTGAGAGATGTCCCCTTACAGAAGGAATCCTTCAAAGCCTCTGGACTGTTTAAGCACCACATTGCAAAAGAAATTGCTTGTCCAGCATTTTTCTGTGTTGGCCTCCACTGAGGATGGTGCAGGGACAATCCCAGTCATCCCTTCAACACATCAGTGACACTGAGATCACTTTTATATGCCCGGATATCCAGTGTCTTTTGAGGTTATGTCCTTTGCCATGCACAAATGAATGATCTCTGTCTTCAAAATCATAGAATGAGTCACAGAATGGTTTGGACTCATTGCACCCCCATCCACTATCCCAGGTTGCTCCAAGCCCATCCAGCCTGGCCTTGGACACTTCTAGGGATGGGGCAGTCACAGCTGCTCTGGGAAACCTTTTCCAGCACCTCACTATCCTCAGTATAAAGGATTTTTCCTAATATCTAACGTAAACCTACCCTCCATTTAAAGCCATATGCTAAAAAAGATGAAATGAGGAAGTGTTAATGACTCAAATCAGATAGCCTTTCTGATCTTTGATGTAAATGCAAAAATATATTGTTAGGTATAATTTTAAGGGATTTGGAGTCTGCAAGTGCCTGGTTATTTATGGTAAAATGTGTATCTGAATAAGAAAATACTTTATAGACCTTCCTTTCCTTTTCCCCCCCCCTCTCCCTCCTGCTTTCTCTGAGCCTGACCACCAGCTGTCCTCAACTGCAGAGCGAGGCACTCTCTGCTGAGGAGGAGAAGGAAAAAGAGGAGGGCTTGGAATCGCGGCCAGCAACAGCGCAGAGCACGCCACCCCCGCAGCTCTCTGACAGCGAGGACTACGCTGGCCTGGAGACCACCAGCCTGCTGCAGCACGGGGACACTGTCCTGCACATCAGCGAGGACAACGGCACGGAGAATCCTCTGCTGGCCACGCACTTCAGCTTCGCGCACGTGGAGCTCGGCGAGACCGACGTCGATCTGGATGAATCTCATGTTTAACTCCTGGGGAAGTACAGGAGTGGGAGGAGGAAGGAAGTGTTTACCTTTCCTTAGAGGGCCCTGCTAAAGAGTAACTATTTAAAACAAGAGCACTTTATTATCCAAAAGCAGGAAATAGCTATCAGCCGGTTGCTATAGACTGGCAAATTTCTATTTGTGAGATCTCTTTTCAGTTCAGGGCAGGACCACAGGAACCAAGAATTGGTACAGAATTCTCAGGATAAGGGTGTGTAGGCAGACGTGGTCCATAGAGGCCTGATCTGGCAGCCATGTACTGTGATCAGCAGCCTCACTGGGTACGGGCTGTTGGACTGCGTGAGACAGAGAAGTCTCTTCTGAGACTGTGCCTGAGATTTATTTTTGTAGTGTTTTTGAGAGGAGGGCTACACAGCAGCTGAATCCAAGGCTCCTACACCTTGAAAACAGTGACAGAAAGTACCAATCCAAAGCTTGATTTTCTCAAGCCTGGGGCCATTTTTTTCTAACATGCAGAGCAACAATATGCACCATAAAGCAATTAGATTTTTTTTTTGGCACTGTAGACTTTAGTTGAGTTTACTTTTGTCTGTTAGTTCCATTCCACTCTGTAAAATATTGCCCTTGTGCTACAAAAATATTTGCTCTGTAAAACTAAATACAGCATGTAGCCTAAGCAGGAATGCATGTGCTGTCCACAGACACAGATGGGCAGGGGCTGAGTGGTCTGCAGGTGGTATAAAAAACCCACACTGTCCTGCTTAAATGTACTGAGCTATTCATCTCCAGAGTTTAAAAAAATACTCCAAGAAACTGCATCTGGAATGCCTGGACCTTCTGGCCCCAAGCAACTGCTCCCCTGATGCTGTTGGATGTACGTAGAGGGATTTAAAGTAAATATTTATATATGGTATTTTCATGTTACTATATATATATAAAAATGTATATGTACATTGTAAACAAAAGATGGATATTGCAGGGCAGAAACTTGATGAAAGAATCTATTTTTGGCATGCTGAGATTGTATTTTAAAAGGTTCCATTTTATGTATGTAACGTTCATGGCTGCAAGTATTAGATGAATGTATGTAACATTTATAGAAGGTGGAGATCCCTGGGGGGATCAGCTGAAGTCACAGCTGAGTTAAAGGGTTTTTCTGCAGCATCATGGAATTACACTGAAATGTGAATTTAGCCATTAGCTGCTGACAGGCAAACTGCAAAATAGCTGTGAAACAAACCATGAAATCATCAGCAATGCCCAAAGAGACCCTTGGGAATCATACACTGCCTTTTCTGGCTCATGTTAGACTGAGTGGAGTTTATAATCATGCCATTATTGTGCAGAGGGAAACGTTTTGGATCATCCTGAGAGTATCTAAACTGTGCTCATTACCACTTTGGCTCCTGAGGGCTTGCAATTTGGACACACACATCATAAACCAGCCTTACCAAGGAGGGCAATGGTATCTTTCTAGCCATCTCCAAAGAAAGGACCTGCAGCTCTCCTCACGGGCTCTCAGTAGCTGTTGAAGCACTGCTCTGTCAAGCCACTGCCTTGCTGCTGTAGTGCAGCCCACAGGTTTTCCTGGGGCTGGGACCATTAACCACACACCTGGCAGCAGGTTCCAGCCTGGGAAGCCCATGGAGCCTCAGGCTGCACTGCCTGGCATTTGCCAAATGCTCACATTGGACAGGAGCTCTGCACACCAGTCTGGGCAGGGAAATCACTCGCATTAAACCTCTGAAGAGAGCTAAAGCCATTTTTGTCCCAGGTGCTGAGCATGCTCTGCTACCACTCTGTTGGTGAGAGAATCTCAGCATGTCTTGGGAAGAGCAGGGCTGAAAAACCAACTATTTTTATAGTGCACCACCTCTATCCCCCACATATATGGGGCTATATAATGTACAGGTGGTGCTCTAATGCAGCTCCAAAGGGTTCTCAGTCTTGGAAGAGAGGTGACAACGTCCCAGCGGATGTCCTGGATAACAAACTGTTTCCTCTGCTGATCAAAACATGCTGTACTGCTTTTATCTCTTCAGTGCACTGGAGCCTGTGCCAGCTACCTGTAGGATGCTGCTTTAGATTAGCTCCTAGCTCAGAGGTCACTCCAAGAATTGCTGAATTCCAGATGTTAAGTTTTATTATTAACAATGACGCACAAATGAGAAAAACCCCACAGCTTTGCTTTCAAGTCCCAAGGTAGGCTTGGTCACTGGCAGTCTGGGGGGAGGAAAGCTTCAGACATGAGCTGAGTGAATGGCTGGGACACAACACACACAGGATTCATGGTGCATTTTACAGAGTGATCTTTTCTGCAGAAAAGGAGGAAGCACCTTCCTTAATGAAAAGTAGAGGCCTTCCCACAGTACCCTACTCTAGAGATGACAAAATAACTGTGATTTACTTCACTTAATTCCGTGTATATAACTTTCAAGTTTCCACTGTCACAGGTGAATCCACAGTAGTAAGCCATAGCAAGGACTAAAATGCCTCTTTTTAATGTCTACCCTCCTAGAAATCAATGCAACTTATAAACGATGTAATCTGCAATTTAGTGTTATCCAGGTGGCTGCGCAGCTGGCTTTGCTCTTGTGGGATGATTGCTCAGAGACGGCACAGACAGGCCAGCCCGTCAGCCTGCCTTCCCACGCGCTTTCCTGTGGTACCAGTTGCATTTGATGCCGTGCTGATGAGTGGCGCACCAAGTGCTTTAGCTGGTTTGTGCTGTGCTGCCGCCTCTCCGTGCCAGCCCCGCTGTTATTTCCGATGCCGCCGTGCATAGTGTCAGCCGCGTGTCGCCTTCGGCAATGTCCGGCCGTGCCTGTCTTGTCCACGTGTCAGTCGGTCCCGTTGCCTCAGCATTTTATGCAAACGTTGTCCCGAGGATTAAATACAAAGGAACGACGGCAAAGGACAGAGTTCTGTGTTTGAGCCTCTTGCGTAACACGGTGGTGTCTGGCGCTCCGAAGGTTTCCATACGCGGTTTTCTTCCGGGATACCGACAGCGCTTGTTAATGTTTACCCAAGTGCTCGCAGGCCCGGCGCGGGGCTGGAACTGTGCTTTGAGGGGGACAAAATACACCTGGTTCGGAATTTAAAGTCACCTACACACGAGTTATCACTACTATTATTATTGTTATTGTTTCCGCCAGTTTGGGACCCAGGGTGCGGCCGGTGCCGCGTCAGCGCGGGCGTAGCGGCGGCCCCAAGATGGCGGGGGCTCCGCCCCGGCCCTCCCACCGCCCGGCCCCCCGCCCGCTGTCCCGGCAGCAGCCGCGGCCGCAGCCATGGCGTCGGGGTGTCGGATCGGTCCCTCCATCCTCAACAGCGACCTGGCGGCGCTGGGCGCCGAGTGCAGCCGCATGCTGGACTGCGGGGCCGACTACCTGCACCTGGATGTAATGGACGGGTAACGCCGGGGACGGGCGGGAGCGGCCGGGCCGGGCCGGGCCGGGCCGGGCCGGGCCGGGCCGGGCCGGGGGCGCTGGGGGCGGGCGGAACGGCCCGCTCCTCCCGGCCGCACCGGGTAACCTGTGGGCGGGCGCGTCTCTCTCTTCGGCCCCAAGACACTTCGTCCCGAACATCACCTTCGGCCACCCCGTCGTGGAGAGCCTGCGCAAGCGGCTGGGCCAGGAGCCGTTCTTCGGTAAGGGCCGGGGGCTGCGGGGCGCTGCCCCCCCGGCAGCGGGAGCCGGCCCCGCTGCCCGCTCGCTGTCCTCTTGCAGACATGCACATGATGGTGGCCGCGCCAGAGCAGTGGGTGAAGCCCATGGCAGTGGCTGGTGCAAACCAGTACACCTTCCATCTAGAAGCGACGGACAACCCCGGGGCACTGATAAAGGACATTCGGGAGAATGGGATGAAGGTGAGGGGAGTACTCACTGTGCTCTGCTTAACTAAGAGCTGCCGTGCTGGCCGGTTCTCTGCGGTGACCAGGGATAGGACCCGAGGGAACGAGCTGCAGCTGGATCAGGGGAGGTTTGGGCTGGATATTAGGAAAAGGCTCTTCTCCCAGAGGGTGGTCTGGCACTGGACAGGCTCCCCAGGGAATGCTCACAGCCCCAAGGCTGCCAGAGCTCCAGGAGTGTTTGCACACTGCTCTGAGTCACAGGGTGAGGTTGGTGGGGTGTCTGTGCAGGACCAGGAGTTGGACTCGATGAGCCTTGTAGGTTCCTTCCACCTCGAGGTATTTCGATTCCATGATTTTATGGAAGACTCATTGTGGCCACTTCAGGTGCCACATGCAGCTCTAACACACTGTGCATGAAGTCAGTCTTCAATTTTAGTGAAGAAAATCTGGAATTTTAAAATAAAGAAGCCTGTTCTTCCTGCCACTACACAGTTGTGTAATTACTTCCTAGGAAGCTGTACTGAGCTGAGGCCAGTCTTGCCCTGACGTGCACTTGGATTTGGCTTCCCTTCCTGCAGGTTGGCTTAGCCATCAAGCCTGGCACTACAGTTGAACACTTGGCACCTTGGGCCAATCAGATAGACATGGCTTTGGTGATGACGGTAGAACCTGGATTTGGAGGGCAGAAATTTATGGAAGACATGATGCCAAAGGTAAACTGTGTTTCTCTTTCATTATTTATTGGGCTAAAAGCTAATTAACAGTAGCGAGTAGTGAAGTTGGATTCACTACTAGATGTAGTCTAGATGTATGAGAAGCTGTAGGGTGGCAGCTCAGTGCTCATCCTTTTATCTGTTTCCTCAGGTTCAGTGGCTCAGGACACAGTTTCCCTCCTTGGATATAGAAGTGGATGGAGGAGTGGGGCCTGACACCATCCATAAGTGTGCAGAGGTAAGAGGTTGCAGCAGAGCAGCATTCTCAGTCACTGTGCTGAGACACTTATCAACTCCCAGAAAATAAAGCTTAGGAGAAATTTTTAGTTTTCAGAGGGAGCCGTAAAACACATGTAATATGAAAATCTCTTTTAGGTCTAATTTTGTGCCTTTTTTAAAATAGTGCCTATGGAAGCCTCCCCTAAGCTAAAGAAGTTTGTTTCTTTTATGTTGACGTAAAAAGGGGGCAATGTGATGAAGAAGTCTGGGGAAGAGCTGTGTTTTCTGAACTCGATTTGGGGTTGCAGTTAGGAGTACATCACCTGTGTCCCAGCCGTTTGCACAGAATTCCCCAGTGCAGCGTTTGCAGGCAGGCTGTGTTCCGTGTGACTGAGCAGTGTTTGCTGTCCCCCAGGCAGGTGCCAATATGATTGTGTCTGGCAGCGCTATCATGAAGAGCGCAGACCCCAGGTCTGTGATCAACCTGCTCAGGAACGTGTGCTCAGAAGCAGCCCAGAAGCGCAGCCTGGATCGATGAGACCTGCCCAAGCCGTGTTCCAAAGGCTCTGGCCGTGCAGGGGCTGCATGAACACCAACTACAGAAACTTCTTGCTGCTGAACAGAGGAACCATTCCTTCACTGCAATGAAGCAAGCAGCAGTGGGAAACATTCTGGCTGTCTTTCAGGGTTGGAAATGCAATGGTTTGAACCCGTCTCTTGATTTTGTGGAGGCTAATTTTGCGGCACAACCTCTAATGCTGGCTGGATTGAACTACAGTCAGTTTGTTGCTTGCTAGAAGAGTGTAGCATCACCACAAGAATATCTCTTGTGGAAGACTCTTAATCAAACTGCCTTCTGCTGTCTGTATTTTGTCATTTGATCTGTGCATTCCTACAAAACTTTTTCCACTACTGCATTAAACACCCTTTCCTTGGTGTGTTAAGTTCTTGAAGCTGACTGTCATAAATAAGTGGGTTCAGGAGTAACTTTAGGGAAAAGGCAGCTTAAGAGGGCTAAAAAATCCCAGTGATGGTAGAAATGTTCCTGTCCTTTGCCTCTGTTGCATTGGAAGTACTTGGCCTATAAAAATCCAGCATCAGATAAGTCAGTGCAGCATCTTTACCAGATCACAAAGTGGGGAATATCTAATAGCCAGTTAAGACAGCTGTGTCTGAAATTCCTGGAATTGATGGAATTCCTCAGAAGAATGTTGCTTTAATACTCCTCAGGCAAGTAAAAACTTTTTCTTGCTGCACAATCTCCTTGGTTTGTACATGTGTCTGAGTAAATGATTAAGGTGGTAACATACAGAAAGGGTAGCTGCTGAAGAGACATGTAGATTGAAATGCCTGGAGATGGGTCTGTAAAACAGCTTGTGGCACCAAACAGTCATCAGTCCTTCAGTTTGCTGTGTGCACAGGCCTGGCCTGTTTGGGCACATGAAAGGTGAGCTACAGTGCACTGGAGGAAGACTGAGCCGGCCATTTTTAGGCAGACCTGTCTCCCATGGCTCTGATTAGCATTGCTGGCTCTTAAATATTTCATGCTATTCTGTGTGGCATTTTTCCCTCTAAGTTGCAATGACAGAAGGGTTGCAGACAGTCTGCTGCCTTGAGGGGGCCAGGCCAGGAGGTTCTGCATTTTCCACAGGGCCAGAGTCAGCTCTGATCTCTGCAGCAGCTGCTGAGGCAGTGCCAGGGCTGCTGCAAGCCCTGTGAGGTGCCCCACAGCAAGAGGCACTGCCCTTGGTGAGCAGCACGAGCTAGGGCTAGTTCAGACACTACAGGAGTATCTCAAATTGCTGAACTGCCACGTTTTTTAATGTGTGGTTAATTGTGGTTTAGGTGAACAAAAGTTGCTTCCTGTTTCCACTTGCAACCCCATTTAGGAACTAACACAAGAAAAATGGAGTTGTGTGGACCTACTGTACTGAGAGATGTTTCAGAAGAGGCTTGCCAAAGGCAAGCTTGGCCATGAAGGCTGTAATCCCAAGGGCCATTGGTGGTGTGTTAAGAGTAGCTTATCCATGCTTCTGGAAAGAACCAGTGTAGAGTTTAGTGTATGCATGGACAAACAGTCATGGCTCTGGTAGCTAAAATGTAGGCTGAAATGAAAATGCTAGTTCAGAATGTGCAGTCTGGCTTTTCATGCTGTCGAAAGCAGTAGGACAACAGCTGTAGTATACTAACCTCCTGCAGCTGAGTGTAAGCTGGATTGAAAGGATAATCAAACTATTTTTGCTTTTTTCCTAATTAATTTCAGGGTGACATCCAAGTTGTGCTAGTTAATTGATGGTACTAGGCTTTGTGGAAGGTATATTCTCTCTTCATAGGTTGTAGCTATTTGATAATTGTTTTAAGGATGGTAAGTTTGCACTTGCACTGACTCTTGGGTGAGGAGTTCTGTGGGAGAGACGTTACACTCACAAAGTAAAATTACTTAATTGCTTCTGTCTGAATCCCACTCAAGTGGGTTTATGCAGGTGACTCCTGCTGCAACAGCTTTTACACATCTAAGGTTAAACCTGTTAGTGACCATGTCCAAGAAATCACAGTGATGAATGATTCTTGTTCTTTAATGCTTAAGACTGTTCCAGTTTCTCACCTGTGTCCATTTACTGAAGTGATCTCTCTGGGGCCTGTTTAGGCCTGTCCTCCTGTACTCAGTAACAAGCCTTTTGTCCCAGGACTGGAACTGGGTGCTGACATGAAAACCCAGAGAGCTGCTTGCATGGTCTCCCCAGGGCTGAATAAACCCCAGGCCCATGTGATGCTGCAATCCTCTGATAAGGACTCAGCAATAAGGGAGAGCACAGCCTGGTATATTGAGGCATGTGGTGTGGAGTGATCTGACAGCACAGGTCTGTCTGAACTGGAAAACAGGATGAAAACAACTTGGACAGAGCCAAGTCACGCTGGGCTTGCACATGTGCTGCACAGGGTGGTACAGCCCACAGCCCTGAGGGAGATAAAACACTGCAGGAGATGCACACAGAGCTTAGTTTTAATAGGGTTTAAAAATTCTTATTTGTACTTACATGCCATTAAGATCCTGGATGCAGAGATGAAGCATTTTAAACCCTCATAGCAGCAGGAAGCAGAACAAAAGTGGTGTTAAAAAAAAAAGCCTCAATTGAACATGGTAAATAAAGCACATGGAAAATGGCTTTGTGCAGCTGCAGACACCTACTTTCATGTGTGGGGGAGCCTTGCTGCATTGGGTTTTAAGTTGGTTTTCACAGTCACTCAATACCTTCAGCCACAGCAGTAGGAGCAGCACTAACAGCTGTTTTCACAGCTTAACAGCCAAAGAGAGGTTGGGTTTTGTCTGGGGTTTTATTTTTTGTTTAAACTTTGAAAAGGAATGAAAAGAAGCAGGGGATTCTGCCCATTCTAAGGCTTCAAGGATGAGCCTAGCCCTGAGCCTGCTCCCACAACAGGTACAGCTTCCTCATGACACCAGCATCCATGCAAAAGTGACCTGCCTGGAGCTGGGAGCCCAGCTGTGCCAGGCCCTGGGCTGCAGGCAGTGGAGCAGCCTACCAGTGCTGATTGCAGCTGCTTGTAGTAGAGGGACAAAGGAGAGGACAGGCTGCTCCTGCAACCAGGCTGAGTTCAGCAAGTTGTTTAACCCTGTCCCAGCACTGAAAGGGGGCTGCTGAAAAACCACGTGTCCCTGTCTGGAGCCAAGACACAGAGTGGAGACAGAGAAGGCAGGGCACAGGACTGCAGCTTCCTGAGAACCACCTCGCTTGCCATGTGCATACAGCACTGCCCACCTGGCCCTGCCAGCGGGAGGGATGCGGGAGGTGGGCAGGTGATGGGGAAATGCAGCCTGTTCCTGGCACATCCTGCTCGAGTGCTGGCAGAGCCCTGTGCAGCACGCATGGAACAGCCCTGTGCTGGCACTGTGGGAGGAGGAGCAGAACCACACTGTTCTCCAGCAGCCACAGTGTGCTGTCACAGGCCTGGCCAGCTGCAAGGCAGCTGCTGGAGAAGAGATTTCTGCAGTGAGTGGACTGGGGTAATGACCAAATAGACATTTTGCTTCTGTCTTGGGCCTGCTCAGCCTTTCTCTAAATACCCTTTTTATTGCTGTCTGATGAAGCAATAGCAAGAACTTAGAGGGGACACAGCTGATGGGGTTCCTCTTGCTCAGAGCACTACCTGCCTCTGCAGCCCCTGCAGTGGGCAAGGAGCCCAGCAGCTGGAACCTGAACTGCAGTGCAGGGATGCTCTGCAGGTCCCCAGGCTAACCAGACTGGGATAACCCAGCTCCTCTGACACAGGGGGGTCCTTGGCCTCCTGTTCAACACCCTTCTGTTCCCACCCTCCAGTAAAGAAAAGGCCTCCTGTAACAGATTGGATTGTATTTCCTCTTCCTGGCAGCACTTTCAGGACATGGAAGGCAACTGGCCTGGCTGGCTGGTTACTTTGTCTGTCCCCTCTCCTGAAGTGCAGCAGTTCCTCCCTCTGCCCCAGGGATCAGACAACACAGGAAAGCCATACCTTACAACAAAGCTGGGTGAGAGCTGGTCAGATCAGGTTCCTAAGGAGTAGACAGGGGTATGGAAAAGACCTGCAAAACATCTGGGACACTGACCTTTGAGAAAGTTTTTCCTGGAAGCAGATGCACGTGCAGGGCAAGAGAGAGGGCAGCACACACCTCTGTACTGAGGCACGGAGGGGGCCCTTGGCCTCACAGTGTAAGTGCAGCATCAGTACCACAGCAAGCTGCAGTGGGTCAGCAGGCCAAGCAGGGCTCCATGCCAAGAGGAAGTATTGCTGCTACTTCTTCACTTCTAAAAAGCCATCAAATTCAGACTATGTACAACATATATAGAAATAACTTTTAATTAAAAAAAACAACCTTGCATCAAAGATTATTGTATCAGACATTGAGGCAAGATTCAAGTTTAAGACAAACCAGTGTTAAAAAAGTGTTTAAAAAAATAATCAGAATGTGCAATAAACTACAATGTAGCAATAGGATGTAGTGTTGAAACTTTACTGAACTGTTTTCATACACCCAGTGTGTATTTCCTGTCATTTTGACAAAAAAAAAAAAAATTGACACTAAAACTGGGTCTTCTGTCCAGTGCCATTCCAGATATTACACATGGAAGAAAACTGCACAAAAAACAGAGACTCCTATTAAATTGCCTTCAACTGTCCTACACAGAAAAACTGCCTGTTGGTGGATTACACCTACATTCAATGTTTAAATCTTTGTTAATACCTCTTGGGATTGCAGATACATTCCAAGCTATGCTATTCAGATGCAAGTTTTAAACAACTTGCCTTTGTTTTCTCACTGTGCATGTATTGGGAAATGAAAAATCTACCCAGAATCACAATGGAAAGCTTTGGGGCTTTTTTTTATTGCTCTTCAAGACATCAATCATCTTTTCCTTTCCAGCTAGTCACCAAATGTTGGCATACTTATGAGACTCTTACAAGGCACTGTACAGAAATTGGAACAAGACTTTAACATATTAAAGCAAAGTATTATGAGCCTCATTAGCTACTGAAGGACTAAGGAAATAAGATGATTCAAACCACAGCATTCCATGGGCTGTGTCACTGATTTGGCTCAACCCCTCTCTCCTGTCTCTCCCTCCCCACAGGCCAGAAGCAGAAACCCTGCTTCCCCCTGTGTCAGACACACTGACTGTGCCAATGCAGTGGCTGCTTCTACCTTATTGCTTGAGGACTTCACCATGAAACATGCCCTGGCACTACTGAAAGCCCTGACTTCAGCTAGATGCAAGGCTTCCAGATCCCCTGCTTTGAACTGCTGGTTCTCACCTACCCTCACCTTACACCTGCAGTTAGAGAGACAGGTTTTTGCCCTATGGCTCTGCCACACAGGAGAATAATCTGAGGCTAATGCTTATCCCCTCTATTTTCAAGTAGTTTTTCTGTGTTCAGTTGAAGTTGTTGGATAAGGTAGGCAGCATCTCCTGCTGCACCAGAGTCCATTAGAACCAGATATGCATTTGAAAACAAACAGAAAAGGATGATTATTGACAAATGTGGCAATATGACAACAGAAAGTGAATGGTGCCAGCAATTTATGTGCGCCCACTCCCGACACTGGGAATATTAGACTTCCAGCTTGAAATAATTACTTTCTCTTGGGGTTCAGGAAGAAGAAAGTGTTGTCTTTGGGATTTATCCTGCCTGTTACAAAGCAAGAAAGAAAATATATTATACGCAGCTAACATAAAGATTTTGAATTGTGTGAATATGCTGTGTGAACGAGAGATTTTACCTTACACTTCTCTCCACCTTAATTGGCTTTCTTAATGAACCACATTATTCCCTGTCACCTTTGTTTCCTTGTACTGTTGCTTCCCAGGCAAATGCTTTTGCAGTCTTCTGACTCTTGGGTAGATTGTTTTCTTGGTGCATAGCCATTGTCTGGCAAAGCAGTGGGTGTGCCTGGAGTGCAGGAAGAGTTGCTGGGGAAAGTTGCACTTGACATTTCAGTCTGATTCGTTACTTGATCTTGGCACAGTAAAGCTTCTACCTCTTCATCGTTTAGTGGAAAAACTCGAAGTTCCCACAGTCCAGACTGAAAGGAAGAGAAGAGTAGGAGTGAGGGTGAAAAAGGAGTATAGAGGATAAAAAGGGATTTCAGTTGAGCCTGAACTGATTAACTGTGTGCAGAATCATGTGCTATCAAGTAACAAACGAGTGTCTTTCTTTACAGTGTTTGCAGGGCTCTTCAGATAAAGAATACAACACTGCCAGGCACCAAGATGTAAGCTGGCTGCGTAAGGGTTTGAAGTAATAATAGACCTACCCTTGAACAGGCAAGGGAACTCTTTTCCACAGTGCCAGACCATCAGGATGCCTGACCCCCTAATGACCAAGCCTGTCTTGAATCTTGGCCAACACCCCTGAAAAAAACCCCAGCCTGAACCCAGTCCTTCCATATTTGCCTCAAAAACATGTGCCATGTGTACTGAGCAATGAAACTTGTTGAAAGATCTGGGGTTAATTTACAAAGCACAGCAATGTAGTTCCAAACAGGAGTACTATGTTCAGTGCACATCAACTAGGCTGACAGCTGAGATTCTGATCAGTGAGACAGGAGAGTATCTTCAGGTTTCTTTGTTGTCACTGCAGAACTGACCAGAGCTGGAAGCTATTGGAAGCTCACCCACCTTCTCTTCCTGGCTCTCCCTGCAGAGTGGTGCCATCCCTGAACAAACAGAGCTGTGGGCTTCCAAAGCTGGGTCAGGAGCAGGGTCAGCAGTGCAAAGGTCTTTCTGCACCACGTCCTGGCTGTGTCGTCCATCAGCATTTTTGCTGTAAGATCTAGTGCAGAATTAGAAATGAGTTTTAAGAGCTACTCCCTGACCTTTCACATTGCCATGAGCAGTTCACATTTTCTTTTCAAAGTGTTCAGTTTCTCTATACATGGTACCTCCATTCTGCTTGCTTAAACCAAAAGAGCAGAGGAAAACTGGTGTGGTTCTGGACCTTGTTGGCTGGAGCCAAAGCAAAGCACTACGTGGAGGAACTAAATGGGTAAAATGGGTGGACAGGCACACTCCGGCTGAAGACAGCTATTAGTGTATCTTGCTCCACATGCTCACCAGAACTGTGATTTTGGACAGCAGAAATCAGTGAGCACAGGCTGTTCCCCTCAGGAGAGTGGCCTCACCCACAGGAGCCCGTGGGGTCCAAGCTGCACTGTCAGCACTGTGCCAAGTGCAACTCAAGAGACAAGTCCTTGGGCTCCCCCTTACCACTTCTGCTCTGGACTCAAGTGCAAAGCAATCAAAAATGTAGTAAGATTAAAAATTTTGATGTCACTTTTAATAGAAATTTAAACCAGATAAAAATAGTGGCATGCATCTAATATGCCAGGTGGAATCCTGACCTTGCTCATGTCAATGAGCAGTTTACTTCTGAATTCAAGCAGCACTAAGATTTTACCAAGGAGTTCAGTCTCAAAATTAAGGTACATACAAAACATTTTGTTTTTCAGTACACTTTCTAAAGTCGGGAGGTTTTATGTTCAAAATTGCTTAAAATAAAATTCCTCAATACGGCTTAGCTCTATTTTTATCCTGCATTAAAAAAACCCTATTTATTCCAAGTGCCATGGTTCACTTTCAGACAAGAGTAGACACAAGTATATGATAAATACCATAAAAAGTTATTCCAACATTTATAGGCTGCTTTTTGCCCTGGCAGATTGTGAACTCATTTATGAGAATCATTCTCTCAGGGCCAAACTGCAGATGCAGCTTTACAACGTTTGCTCTGATATATACTACTTTTTGCAAGACTTTTAGTGGTTATATTTAAATCTGATGAGTTCTGCACCAGATGGCAAGCCTGTGAGAATGAACCATTCACACAATGACTTTCTAAGTGTAGGCCCCTGGCACAGCCCAGGACCCTTCAGTAACACATCTCTGAACACCATGGAGTTTCATCTGAGTCAGGTGAGTGAAGAAGGACTTATGATGCACTGGGTGGCTAAAGTCATAGTAACTGGGAGTGGCACAGTCTAGCAGAGCTCTGTGTTCAGAGAGGGAGGAAGATATTTGTTTAGTAATGCCAGGTCACTAACATATCCAATTTCTGTAAGTATGCGTGCCTCAGCACTGCTTTCTCCTACCACCCACAAAGTTCAACGTACCTGGTACTGTCCCTGATGAGTTAATTAATGAATGCCCTCATTTTCAAACTCCTGTGACAGCATTTCTGCCACTCTGTACCACAACCCACGCCAGGTTCAATAGGAAGGCTCTCATCAAAGCCAATACACCTGCCTGCTGTTCCTCCTGGGCCAGCGGCTCTGCTCCCACAGCGACCACCTCGCGCGCTCTCGCTCCTCGTACTTGCTGTGGCGCCAGGAAAAGGCTTTGTCTGACAGGTCTTCTACCTGTAAGGAGACACAGGAGAGCTGTCAGTGTCAGCATCCCTGAAAACAACACCAGCCAGTATTATCCACAATTCTGCAAAGGTCTATTCAACAAACAAGGAGAGGCAACACAATGCATGCTTTCACTACAAAGGCACATTTACATGTGTTCACTTTATGAGAGCTCTGGTGCATGGGATGCTGTCATTTTAGCTTTATTTCTTTACAGGTCTGTGGTTGTTCTGAATGGATATAGAAGTTATACCCCCTCCATGCAACTAACACATTTTTCTCTGTGGTGAGAGGCAGAAAATTTAGAGGATGAGTATTCATTTGCAAATCAAGGCAATACTAAAAGTACAAAATAAAGACATGCAAAAAAACCAACAGTTTCCAGAGACTGCTTTAGAAGGAGGTTGGGAGGCAGCAGGATTTGGCAAGTGCTCTTTAAGCACTAAGAAATAGGTTTGAGATCACCAAGGACTTTGATAACTCCAAGGAGGAGAACTCGGTGATCCTGAGGTGCCACATTCCTGCTGTGAAACCAAGCAGAAAATGGCTTCTGCTTTGAGGATACTATTTCTTACCCCATGGTTTGCATGATCCCAAGTGAGCTTAAACCAGCCCTAATGCAAGTACTTTACCTGCTCTAGCAAAACAAGAGGCAGATTTTTAGGTAAAAGATTGCACCCCATCTTTCACTGTGAAAGTACCATCCGTGTTTCTCTGATGGCAACACACCAGGAAGTTTGTTCCTTAGCCAGGGCTGCATGAGGAGCACTTTGCTGCTCCTCCCCCTCACTCCCCTGATGGCAGGGGGAGTTCTTGGCTGGATCCCTCCAGTACAGCTCACTGTTGTTTCAAAGTGCTCCAAACCATTCAAAGTTCACCTAAAAAGCTGAGGTTGGCAGGAGCACTTGAGTGCTGCAGCCATGGATTTTATGCCAGCTAGTCCCAACTCAAAAGCTGAGAAATTCTTGGAAAGAACAATTCCTGGTCATAGGAGCTTTGAAGCTGCACTGCCAGATCAGTCCTAGGCAAGAATTATACTAATAATTGGGGGTGGGGGGTAATGGAAAATAAACTGCCCTTTTTTTTTTTTTTCTAAAGCAAAATCCTCAGTGGCGTTGTACAAGTAACAGCATTTATCTTCCAACTGAGCCTATAAAATAGAGAACCAAATGCACAGTGCTCCCTGCAGTGCCAAGTAGTGCCATAGAGACCCTGGCAGTGCTCCACTTCTGTGGAAGCCATCCCCATATCAAGTCTCTCAGCACTGAGGTGGTTCACAGCCATTAGGGGTACAATGACAAAGTATCACAACCAATCGATGTGATCCCAAAAGCTTCATTTTGATTGGAATCAGACACAGGACCCATGTGCAGAACTGTGGCTGCCCAGGTCCTCCTGAGCCCAGCACTGGACAGGAACCTTCAGACAAACAGGCTGCTTAGTTTGCTCATCTCATCACTCCTTGCTGAAGGCTCCTTCATTGCTTTTATTTATTTATGTTAAACACAAACCACTTTGTTAGCTGCTGGTTTCCTTTCATGCAAGTGCACTTAATGGGCTTCCTCCTCTGAAATTCACCAGCTCTGTCACTTGGAGAGCATCCAAACAGGGCTACATCTCAGTTCACATTCTGTCTTTCCAAGGTCAATGATGTATAGCATGAAAGTGAGAATTTTAGAACTACAAAAGTGTTATTCCCTTGGGGGAAATTCAGGGCTTTTCTGTGCTCAGATTTCCTTTGAAGTGGAAACAAAAGATAATTTAGAAAGAAAAACTTTGGAATTTGAAAATACTTTTCTTAGCACTTTGCCAAAACTTTTCATGCTGGGAAGAGATTTCATTTTTAACAAGTTTCCATTCAAAATCAAAGTCTGTGTTCCTCTCCAAGTGAAGAGTTTTGGAAAATACAGAAATAAGCCTTGTTTGTTTTCCATAGCTGGTGATAGCATATTTAATCACTTGTTTATTTAAAAAGAGTTCTACCCTATTCTTTTGAACAGTACATTTTCTTATTTAAATATTATTATCTGTTCTATGGATAAAAATTTCATGACATCAGAATAAAAGGTGTCTACTCGGTTCACTACAGCCTCTGTCACTCCCCAGCATTTCCTCCAACAGCTTTAGATTAATTTAAAGGTCTGTAACAGGAGAGATTTGGTGGTTTTTCCTCACCAAGATTAGTTTGAAAAAGGACAAAAAAAGTGTCATTCCTCAGTGGATGGATCTGGCAGGGTGTTGAGAGAAAAGGCTGTGGGGAAGGCCTGTTTGCGAGGCATGTCTAATGATTTCACTCACAGAAAACTAAGCTTTGGATTCCCCCATGACACTGCAACACACTGTGCATGAATGTTGAATAGCACCAGGAATATTTCTGAAAGGTTCTCAAAACAACAAAATCTGTGTTTCACTCTTTGGCTCCACAGGAAACTCTGAGTCACAGGCCATGAAAACACTTATGCAAAACTAATTGCACAAGGAATTACCCTAAAGAATTTGTCATTACTAAAACAACTACAAAATAAACTTGAACATTACAACTGAGCCTTTCCAGAAGCTTTAACCTGGACAAAACAAATTAAAACCAAAACAAAACAGGAAAACCTGTGCCACACCCTCCCATTCCTTAAAGCAATAACACTGCAAATTCATGCATGCAAACCAGGAAACTCAAATGTTCTATTTCCAGAAAGTACTTTTAGAGCAAGTAATAGAGCAGACATAGACAGTAGATTAACTTTTGCATTGCCAGTTGTGTTCTTATAAGGCAAAATTTCCAGAAACAAAAAAGCACCCATAAAAGGTAAGCTTTTTGTACTCAAAGGCACAATGAATAGGCCTGACTCCCAGAAAGTGCTAAATTCCCATCCTTGGAAGTGTGGCTCACATGGAGCATGATAAACTGGGGACCCCACATTTATTTGTAACTTAGTAAATGTGGGATGCAGGTCTGTTGAATGGATATGGGTTGTTGCATAAATGAAGAAGACAAAGAAGACAAAGATTAAGACAACAAAGACAGTGAAGATGAAGAAGAAAAAAGTTATCCAGTGGTAAAAATCCCTGATTACTTCTTGACACAAGGACAACTCTGAAGTTTCAAATTTAGCTATGGAGAGGATAGAGAAGTAAAGAAACTATTATGTAGTACCACAAAAAACTTTAAATCATTTCCAACACCACCACAGGCTATTATGCAGTGAAATAGAGAAAAAGAGCATTTTATATAAAAGCAGAAAGTATATTTTGCCTTCCCTTGTGTTATGTGAATGACCTACTGAAGCTTGCTTTGACTTTAGCACATGGAGGAATTTCAAGAGTGTCAGAGCATGAGTGCAGGTAATGGTGCTGTTTCCTAATGTCTTTTTACAAGCAAATATAACTCAGCTCAAAGCTAGAGGCAGTTGAAGAATTATGATCTATCACCTTTTCTCAGTACTCTGAAAAACATCCAAACTAATTAACAAGATCCCAAAAGAAAGGGGGGAATTGGCAAAGGATGATTTGCACAAACAAGATCATTAGCATTTTTCTCTGTCTGGCATCTCTCCCCCTCATTCCACTCAGTGGCTGACAGATGATACAGAAGCAGTGGGCCACAGCAGGAGGCAAAGCTGCTGCAGTGTTAACTCAAGCTATTTCCTGGCCAGAGGATGAATCATACAGGATTGAGAGTCATGCCAAACACAAATGTACTGGGTGGGCTACTAATTCAGACATTAGCCCATGAGCTTCGGAGAGAAACCTTGAAGTCCCTGCAGCAAAATACACTAAAAGCACAAGACAAGTCATCTTTATGGGATCTGAAATCTAAACAAGAAATCCACTGATTCCATGCAAAGCCCTTGAAGCCCTGAATGCAAATCACTGTTGCAAATCACTGTTGCAATTCTTCACTCCCCCCAGACACCAGGATGAAGACAGCAATGAACAGTAAGATGCTCAAGGGACAGAGTGCCCTTGCTGCCTTTATTAGTTATTCTCCAAATGGTTTAATTAAATATCCTTGCAGGAGTGTTCTCCTGTGTGTGGAATTTGACCTTCTTGGTACAAAGGAAGGACAGGCATGCTTCCTGCTAGCTGGGAGGGTACTAACCCAGAAGTCAGTGGGTCATAAATTTGACCTTCACAGAACTTCTCAATTGCTCATTGGAAAAGGCAGGAACAGAGTAAGCTTTTCTCTTCCTTCTAGCCCAAGAGTATGCTGCCAGAAAAGTGCAACTACACCAGGTAAGGAGTTGAGACCACATGTTCTCCTAAAGGAAAGGTTATGGAGCAGGTAGCTACAGATCTATAAACCTCTGAGGAAGTTGTGCTTTTGTGGAGGAGACTGTATTTTCTACCTCAGGAGAGTGACATAATGATTTGTTTACTGAGTTTAATGTAACCTTCTGCACTGCTACCTAAATGCCATCTTTTTCTACTGCTATAGCAACTAAACCTCTGCTGTAGAGATTCTCTCAAATAGCAGCTCAAGAACAGGTATTATGGATAAAGGCAGGAATACAAGTCCTACAGTTACAGTTGGTGACAGTGGCAGAGACTGGAGGGAGATTAAAGATGTCCAAAGGACAGCAAAATTGACAGATTTTGGGAAAAGAAGCCACAGAAAGATTGGAAGGACAGAAAATCAGCCTAGAGACCAGACTTGCTGGCACATTCACCCCGAGGTTAGGAAATGCCTCAAACCCCTGATTAGGGGAGAAAGGGACCCCCAGCTGCAAAGTCCATGGACATTCCCTGAAGAAAAAGGTAGATTCTTATGTCTGGAGGAAGCAAAAACCAGCCCATGATTTGCAAACTTAGCTCAACAGGCAGGCAGGAAATGCTGAAGGTTATGTTGCTCCTGACAATGCAGAAAAGTTTGCTTCCAGCAGGAGGATTACAGGAAAAAAATACTGAAAAGAAAACTGAAGAAACTTACTGGACCCAAAGGCAAGATTCCTGATTACCAAAGAGCAACATGCCATGGGAAGTGGCCATGGAAGGAGAGGGTGAGAGGGAGGGACAGCACTGGTGGCCCCAGGAGACAGTCACACTGGGACAGGCAGCATTACAGGGCTCAGGAGCAGGGTGGCACAGCCTGAGCCTAGGGACCCTGCAGGAGCACTGACTGTGCAGCAGCAAGGGGCACCAGAGCCAGACAAACAATGAACAAGGAATATTAATGGTATACCTCCATTTCTATCTCCCACTGTAGGGACAAGACACATTTTCACAATTTGATACTTAATACTTTATTTTTGAAACTTGAAACTTACTGGGATTTGTATGAAGTTGGTGTTTTTGGAAAGAATATACCAATTACCCCAATTATATATTGTATCTACTTTAAATAAACCTAGTGGTTTAATTAAAATAAAACCTACCTCTTCTTCATCTGTTTGAGATTTTTCCAAAGGTTGAAGTTCAACAACTCTCCAGCTAGAAATAAGACAAGAAAAATCAAATTAAGTTTAAGGTGCTGATAACAGACGGCTGAAATTTAAATTTTCCTTTCCCAACAAGGTATCTAACCTTTCCTTTTTCTAACACAGTCTTTAAGATATCCAATACACTTTTAATAATATTTTTCAACTTAAAAGACAATAAAAAAGCAAATACATATTATGGATTTAAAGTACAGAACAAGTACATTTAGCACTTCAGGCAATGTGCTACTAAGAATGTGCTTACTGAATTAAGCAGAGAAGATCAATTACCCTGGTTTTGAAATCGAAAGATGTTCTCTTTCTAAAACAAAGGAGAAAAAGGTCTCTAGAATCATGGATTGTAGGCCTACACTGTATGGAAAAAATAAGCTTATTCTACTGCATCAGAATGGCTAAATTAAAAAAAACCAACTAAATCCATTTCTGTTAATTCACAGAAAATAGTTTACTACTTTCTTATGAACACACAAAAAAAGACAGCAATCTCCAAAAAACTGTTCAAGAGCTTGTCAGCCTTAAGGTATACTTTAAGGTATATTAAAGCCATATCTACAATTAAGATGATATAAATCCACTTCTATTTTTAGCCAGTCTGTGCATCTGCCACATCCCTTTGCATATCAGACTATTTCTCCTGTGCTATCAGCTGTCCCGTCTTCCCACAACTTTGGTCACATGAACTGAAATGCACAGAAAACAACCCAAGTGCATGAAAAGATCATCTTTATATAACATTTTGTAACTCCATGTAAATTATATTCTTAGTTAATGTTCTCATGTTCATTTTCATGTCTTTGCAATTCAAGAGGCTGTGAACAAACCTTGGAGTAAGGATTTCTTTGTACTGTAGTTTCTCCAGCTTTGAGGGTGCCACCAGTGACATGGGAATAACAATGTTGTCTATATCATAGGAGCTCTCACTTCTCAGCCTCCTCCTGGAGTTATGCTGAATAATAAAATCAACACAAGAGGATCACCTCGAGTCATAGGAAATACATTTTAGCAGAGAAACATTAGAACTTTACAAGGAGAAAGCCTGAACTTTAATGGAAACAGACTATTCTAAAGTGCTCATTCATGTGTTCTTGGATGATGATTGACTCCAGGGAATAAAGGAGTGTGTGTTGTGTAAACTGTGTGGGATGCACACTTAAACTCAATTCTGCATTAAAACATGACAACTCACAGAGCACCAATATATCACTAGGCTTAGCAAAACCATGGGACCTGAATCTGAATATTGTTGTGAATTTTCCATTAATTTCAGTAAAATAGTATGTTTCTGTACACTGAGCTGGAGTTCTGCTGCTCCTCAGTAAATTATATACCAGGGACTTTGCCTGTATTTCTGCACAAAGGCTTGTAAATAGGGAAACTGAGAGTTAACAAATTTCATGACTCTATTTGCACCATGAGGCCATTTTATATAGCTGTACCAAGAAAAAATGGTCATAAGTGCCCTAGTGTAAAACTGGGAACATAAATCATGGAGTGTTTAATGAAATTTGGGAAAAAAAAGGCACAATGCCAATAAATCAAATTTACACTCCAGTTATATGATCTACAAAATTCTTTTATAAACAAGTACACATACTTGATCTGGAATAAATTAGTAAATGTAATCCACTTAATTCACTGTAAAAATGCTCTGCGCTGTCACATGACACTAAATCAGATGTATAAGGCATGTGGCTTTGGACTATTAATTTGCACAACTCTCTGCTGATATTTCAGTTGAGACATTTTTGGTTTACCTGTGATGAAGTGCTGTGAGTGGGCCGAGACATGGCACTGACACTGCTTGTGGGAGTAAAACTGCTGTGGGACTCAGGCTCTGCATGTTGGAAGGAGAATGTCTCAAAATGAGCGCTACTTTCGCCTGTCATAAAAAACAGCAATAAATAAGACATACTGCCTGTTGGCTATTAGACTGCAGAAATTTTTCCACACAGTAATAGTAAAGTCATTTCTAGAAGGCCACAGTGAGCCACTTACAATTTACTGGATACTAAAAAAAGCCATCTAAATAAACATTTGCTATTCATCCTACTGTTGTTCCACGAAACTCATCCCTCTTTTTCTAGGAAGGATTTCTTCTCATGGAAACAGCTTCATATGGGCAAATCCTGACTTTTTTTTTCAGGAGCTGTCATAGACTACACACACAGCAAATACAATCTGATTTAGATTCCCCCTGTTCCCCAGCAGCAGTTGGGATGCATCTCACAAGTTCTCCCTGGCTGTTTCTTCCTTAATAAATGATAAAACTGCCAGCAAGGGCAACAGACAAAATCAATTCATATCTCCAAACCAATAGCAGTGTCTTCTGATTTGCTGCTGCAGACAAATTGTAATTCCTATTTACTCCCATTCAGTCCCAGTATAAGCAGCATTTAGAGGGATTCATAATTTAACCACTTGTTCTGCTTTCCTTCTACCTAATTTCCAGTAAGAAAGGATAACTCAGACTTAACATAACAATGAACAAAAAGAATTAGTATATTTCAACATGGAAAAAGAGGTAAGACTGATCCTAAAGACTGTATTACATAGGCTGGGTCAAGGTAATGAACCACCATCTCCCAGGCAGCTCTGCAACTCCCTGGCACACAGCTTTTATTTCTGGCCTTGTTCATTAGGCTGACCTTCCTCATGGATAATTTCTCCTAGACAGAGCCCAAATTAGGAATAAATATGTAGTACTACACCCATAGCACTAATAAGCTAGAACTTGTGCTCCTACTCATGAATGCACCACAGAACAGTTTCCTGGCTCTGGGATGATCCTCATGATATAAGACTGCTTTTTTGGTTCCATTTATAAAAAAAACTAAATACTACTGTCAGAAGACTAATGGTAACTTGAAAAGGTTTACAGCAACATGTTTTCTCTCTTATTAGTGCTCCCAAGTAACTCCAGCTGTTGATCTCAGTGCCCATGACTACACTTTGGGAAACTAAGAAACACTGTGTCAGCATCCACCTCTTGAGGACCAGGCAAGTGGAGCAGGTGGCATGGGAAACGGGATCAGTGGTGGTGAAAGGGGAGAGGGCACAGCACCCCCTTGGACACAGGCAGAGAGGGCAAGAGAAGGCTGTACAGCAAAGCCAGGGCTGTACTGCACCAGGGGAAGGATTCAAAGGACAGTCCTCACCTAAATCCAAAGCAGTTTTCAGTGTGCCCCCACACAGCTTTTATTCTCTCCTAAGACTTCCTAATTGATTGGGTGGTCTTGCTTTGGGGTTGTGGATTGTGGGTTTTGGGGTTTGTTTTAATCCTAGATCATAATTTTTTATTAATTCGTCTCTGCAGTAGGTCCTGTATCTCCATCTCTAATGAAAGATTATAGTTTTGCCTGGATATGCACCACCAGTTAATTTTTCCACGATGTTAACTGATCATTTATACCTTTTCATTCTTTCCTAAGGGAAATTTTAAACAAATATGCTCTTGCTCAGTGACTTACTTTCTTCAAATGTCTTGTGAAGAATTTTGCCAAAGGTTTTCCAAAAGTTACATAAATGAATCTGTAACAGAATCTGTTAGGCTTTACATTCTAACAGCCTGGAGAGGTAAGTTGTCATTTATCTTAACAGTGGTATGCTAAATTTTGTATCCCTACAATTATCACATTATTCTATAGAACTTTTAGGGCACTTCCAATTAACTTACCAAATGCTGAAGGAGAGATTCAGTGGCTTAAAGCAGAACAGTAACAAGGGTAAAAACACAGTAAGAACTGGCTATCCACAAGTCCTCTCAGAAGTCTGGAAGGGATCCAGATCCACCAATGACAGTACACAACAAATGAAATATAGTGGACAAAGATGCCAGGAATAGTAAATGTTTCATTGGGCACATGATGTAACAGATAACTTTGCAATGTTTATTTCATTGACTACTATTAAAAAAACCCTTTTGTACTAAGAATGACACCCAGTATTACAAGAACACAGCTGAACTGCTGAGCAGTTTCCTTTAAGAGTACTCCAAAAATAAAATATAGCAGCTTGTCTCATTCTGTATGTACACTTAAGAAGAAAGATGATTACTATGCTTTAAAATAGAAAATTATTTTCATGGTGTTCTAAGTCTGTTTCTTTATAAGTTTCATAACAGTATCCTTTTTGGAGACAACTCTTAATTCTCAGAGCTCAGTGATATTCATACAGTACATATTTTAAAAGATGTAGTAGTCTCTTGCAATGCTATTTTTCTCTTACCTACTGCTGTCTCACTTAGATGTCTTTTCTTTCTTCCTTCTGACAGCTGGTCAGGTGTTCCCAACACCAATGGAGATTTGGAATTAGACAAACAGCCACCGCTCCATTGTTTGACAGAAACATGTGGATTGTAGTCTGTAACAGAAAAAACACTTATCAAGTTGAGAAATTACTTTTCATCGGTACAATTTACAGGAAATCTCAACTGCTGAACTATTTATAATAGCCCCAAACTTCTGATAGGAATCCAAATAATAACAGGACTGCAGTCAGGCACCTGGTCCAAACTGCCCCCACTTGTGGTATCCTCCTACAGCTCTGGTGGGATCATCTCAGTGCAATTAGGGAGAACCTGACACTGTGGTCTGAGAAGAAATTCTTCTTCCACCTAAAGCTATATTCAGTTACCTTCCATGACAACCTGCTTTGTGACAAGTTTATAAACTGAACCTCTTCATGGCAGAAAATACTGATGAATGAAAAAGCTAAAACATTTTGCTTTACATACCATTGTCAGCAGATACTTTAAAGTCCCCTCCCAAAGATGAGGTATCAGCAGGTTCTCCTTTGATGTCATCCTTCCTTAATAATGTTTCAAAGTATATGTGAAGAGGAATATCTAATAAAAAAACCAGAAATCCAAAGGAATAGCATCTGTATTAGAAAGATGGCAACCTGTGAGCCAATGAATTATGCATCATCACTAGAGCATTGACTCACCCATCACATTCAACATCATCTGTGAGCACTATTGCCAAGGACTGAAACAGACTGGAGGGTACTGAGTGAGAATAAGACTGGGGTCTTTCCTCTTGACCAGCTCCTGCACAAAACCCAGCAGAGCAGAGAGCACACAGTGCACTTCTGTAATGTGAAGAGGCTTTGGTTCAGCCTTCTGGGTAGAAGTCATTAATGCTTTTGGAATTTGTTATTGCTGGGAGCCTACAGGTATTTTCAAGGTACATTCCCTCTCTGTCTCCCTGGAAAAGTCTACAGCAGGGCAATGTAATTCATTTTCTGAGTGGAGTTCTGATAGAGAATTAGCCTGCCAAACATTTCAAGTGGTAAGGAATCTACCCACTGCTGTAAGGCAGGGAGGCTTAAAAAAATACCTCTCTGAGAAGCCTTTCTGGAAAAAAAATACAAGTATGAAGGGAAATTTAATTGAAAAAAGTGTAAATGTAATAAGTAGGCTTGACAGCTAGCACATTTAGAATGAGAAGAGGACTGTGGGCAGGCCCAAGGGTGGGCATTAAACTACATTCAGGACATGCCAGGACAAGAACTTTCAACATATTTTGCTAAATAAAAAGAACTATTTTCTTTTCAATTTGATATGGATCTAACTATGGGGTGTTGAGATAAAGCAATATGGATTGCTTTATCTCAACACCCCAAGGTTTTTGCTGTGTTTCCTACTCTACTTCCAAGTTAAACAAAGAAGGTCTGAAAGGTGTATTAGTCACAACATTTAAGTAAAGAGACAACCAAAACATCTCTCCAATTTTATTGGTCTTTAGGCTTTGTTTTTTGTGGTTTATTTTTGTGTTTTTGTTTGTTTGCTGTTGGTTTTGATTGTTTTGTTTTTTAACCTGGGAAACCACCTGGGTGACCCAGACTTTTTACCATCCTGTATCTTCCTTGAAAGGGCAGGAGTGCTTGTTTCAATCAATCCACAACCTAGGTGCAGAAATACCAGAAACCCAAACTTCCTAGATACAAACTACAATTTTCCATTTATCAAGGTGCAAGTTGAAGGAGGTGCTGTTATGTTAAAGCAATACTGCAACCACTGACACTTATTTAGTCAAGATCCTTGGTAATTTGAAAATTGTGAAAGAAAGTCTTAGACATAGGGATAATTATGCTTCCAGAAGAGAGTACACTAGTGAGCCAGTCCCACTGCACTATTTACTAGATTGTCTGCAAATTATGGTTATCCTTTAAAGCAAACCACATGAAAAACCAAGGTGAGAGAACATCTGAGTCTTGAAGGTGAATCCTGCACAAAAAAACTCCCAGAGTTCCAAAATGAAACAATGTATTTTTAACATACAGAGAAAATGAATGCAAAATCCTTTTCTTTTACACTGCTGACAATTTTTATATATAAAGATGTGGGCACAGCACAAGCAGTATTTTAAGAGAAGTTATTACTCTGGAAGGGGATAACCAAGAAAGCTGCAAAGAAAACATTAAATGGAAGTAGGCTACAACTTGGAAAATTTCTACCATGCATTTATTCAAAATAATTCTTTCATATGAAAGAAAACGTCAAAGAGACTTGTCTTCATGAGGAGGTAGAGACAGCAAAAGTGCACAAAGCAAAGCATGAATCTAGCCTCCCTCAAATGTGAGGACTGCATTTGAACAGGAGATAGCAGGTCTAGTACTTCTTCCCTGTCTCAACTATTATTAGCAAGGCTCCTGGAAAAGAGAACAAATATTCCTTAAGAAATATTTTCTTGATACTGGAATGAAGCTAAAAACATTTTTTTCCTCCTCCATCCTGGCAAAGTGTCCAACAGTAGCCAGAGCACAGTCCAAGGTTTTTGAGGTTTTTTATGATGACAAAACTTATTTTGAGAAAACAAAAGCTTAATGTTCTTGCTACACACCCCAGTCTCCTTAAACAGGGAGGTAAGAATGAAGACAAGGGGCACAGACCTTCCTTGGACAGATGTCTAAACCCCTGGGGTCCAGCTGTGCTGCCAGAGTCACAGGGGAAGTGATAGTGTGTATAAAAGAAGGAAGAGTTAGGTGGTGTTTTTCTGTCCACAACAGAGTTCCGCTGACTGGGATGTTTGCTGTTGCACTCTTGGAGTGAGTGTTCCATTTCTCCTATCTGCTCCTACAATAATCTCTTTAACCTATGCATGGGATGCAAACTGCCAGAGCTGATTCCATGTCCACACTTGGGTCTTCTCTACAGGCCAGTGACAAATTCTCCAAAACCAAGCCTTAAGTTAGTTCCTGACTTCCTAATACAAGGCTGCAGTGTCTACACTGTCATTCTGGGAAGAATTAAAGATTCAAACAGTTCTATGGAAGTCTCAGCCTCATCTGTAGAATTATTTTGTGGCAAAGAAGCCCCCCCGACAAAGAACAACATAATTCCTATACTGGTCAGTAAAAATAGTTTTTTCCTAAAACAAAAAAATCCCACAAAAATTCAATCCCATCTGCTGGTAACAGCATTTAGGCTGTTATTTTGAAGTCCCAAGTACTGCCAAGTTGCACCTGCACTAATTTCAGGGCTGAGTCACAGACAACATCCTCTACATTACTGTCCAAAAAGACTTTAGATCAGATGACAAGAAACCATAAAACTTCAAAGGTAACAAAAAAAGCTGACCATCACAAAAATAATTAGAAAACCTAAATAAAGTTTTTTAGACCTAGTCCAAAGGGCCTGAACAGAAAAAAAGTCGCTTATGAAAACAATATAACCATGGCATTGTGTTGGCAAAAGCACCATAGCTAAAGGACTGACCCTGACTCAGTTAGACACACCATGAAACACCCAAGCACACCTTTTCTCATCACCAGTCTTTCAAGGCTGTAAGCACATTGCTGGTTTGAGAAACCTAGGTGTGTTTTTCAAAAGTCAGGATCAAGTAAAGATTTTCATTTAGTCTAAACTCATGTATTTTGACAATAAGAAGTTTTCTGTAGATAACTAAGTCCTAAAAATCATTGAAAAGACAAGTCAGTCCACAACCTGTACAGCTGTCACAAGCACAACCACTCTGTTAAGCCATGGCATTACTCACCTGAAGGGAATGATAAGACTGGATGGAAGGAAGAGTCCAGCTCTTGCACATAATCTAGGATTTTAGATTCTGTGCTGTACTCACTGCTGCTGAAAGTGGAGGCTGGCACCACACATGGAAACTGAGTTTTATATGGAAAGGAGGCATCTCTAGATGGAAAAGTCTGCAAGAACACACAGAAACAAAGGTTAACTTTTCCTTTCCTCATGTCCTTCAAATTAGAGCAGAAGAGGAAAAAATACCCAACAAATCAACAACTCAGTGAGTGACACACTAATATGTGAATGGGGAGAATATTCCAACAATCTCCAGATAGTCTAAATATGACTTACCTTCACTTATTATGGACAACAGTGCACAATACAAAGAACACAAACTGCTCATTCAATTAGGACCAGGAAACAGCTGTCAAAGCTTTCAGATAAAATGTAACTCTTTCCAATCATTCTTTTGATCTATCCAATGACAAACAAACACCCTTCAAAATTTGATTCTAGAGTAACAGGCATGATATAAATGCACAGACAAACCTAACACCAGACTAAATAGAGGGTCTCATTCCTTGATTCCCTTAGTAAGATTCTTAGCATCAGTATCTTTAGGCACCTTGAGCACACACATTTTAGTGCAATAAACTATACTGAGCATTTTGAGCATACTGTGTACTTACACAAACCAAAAAGGCAAAGTCTTTACCTTGTCATAATTTAAACATCAGATAAGCAACAGAAAGAAGACATACAGCAATAAACACAGAGAGGGATGCATTAAGAACTGATTAATAGGTAATAAAAGGAATTAGTAGAAATAGTAAAGGTGCAAAGAAAGATTCATTTAGCTGCTTGGCTGCAAAGCTTGTTTATATATGGAAGGTAAAATGATGGATGGAGAGAACTAGTAGATGTGAGGTAGCAGGACTGAGGCAAAAGGCAGGGTGAAAATGGGCAGGAACAAGCAGCAGAGTTCAGGCCACAGACTGAGCCCTGAAAGACAGAAGGAAAGAATTAAATGTGATGATACAAGACAGCAGCAAACAGTGGTCTGTGCTTCAGAATGTGCTACAAAAAGCACTTCAGGGAAATAATGTGGCATAAGCTACTTTCTAACTGGATACTTGTGGTAGTTACCCCAAAGATACTGACATTTTTAGAGGCTTCTATAGGTTTCTGATATTTTGCCAAATGCTGCAGATCCTGCAAATGGGAATGGAGAGAAAGGGACACTGGAGTACTTAGGGGGAATCCCCCCTAAGCCAATCACTGCACCCACAATCACATTTATCAACCCACGGGAAACAGTTCCAGTGTAAAAAACTGTAAGAATGAATGACATTTTCTTAGGACTTTTTCTGGAAACATGTAGCATCAAAGGTGAGACTCAAAGAACATAACTTGCACTTTCTGTACTTCTGCTTTCTGAATCAAAGACAACTCTTTCTCCTGTCTGAAATATTCCAGGCTGCACTTCAGCACTGCCATTCATTAATTAGTGATGCAGGAATTATATCTACCACATAAAATTCCCTCCACTTAGTCAAAGCAGTCTTTTTGCCACATGGCATAAATATTCACAACCCACATTACCTCAGAAAATATTACATTAAGAAATTCCCCTTTCTTCTCAGTTACTGAGTTCTCTCTGCTGGTACTGTATCTCAGAAACTACTAAAATCAAATAATCACATTATGATGCCTGAGCAGAGAACACAGTGATGGAGAAGGGAGGTTCTCGTATTTAACTTTTTTTTGCCCCCAGGAAAAAATTAGTAGTCCTAAATCCACCTTGATCTCCATACACAGCTGTATGCACAAGTGCTTTCAACTTAACTTGGAAAGAATTATTTCCTAGCCCAGGACTCCTTCAAATCAATGTTCTGTTATTTTCCTGTGACAGACATACGGGACTCTTCATCTGTTAAACTTTAAACATCCATGAAGTGTTGGCAGAACTGGGTCTCATGTTTGGAAACACTAGAGGGATAAATGCTAAAGTAAACTTAATGTTTCCCATTATATGGATCATTACACTAAAGCTTAAAGAGCTTTTAGGTACTTGCTCTACTTTAATGCATTAAGGACTTGCTTTTCAAAAATGTACAAAAGCATATTTCTTGTTGATATTTGGGTTTTAGAAATGAAGTAATTTACTAAATCTCTACTCTTTAAGCTGCAACAGCATCACTTCTGCCTGTCCTTTTTTTGTTAATATAAATGAATCACATTACAGTAGATAAGTCTTTCACTTATTGCTTAAAAATAATTTCCCAAAAACTAATCAGTAAAATTACCTAGAAAGTATACAGATAAGACCAAGGCTCTCTGACATCCAGACCTTTAGTCTTTCCTCACTTTTTCTTGCTTTAATTCACTTTATCCAAACACATCCAGATCATTAAAGCTGAGCCAGTTCAAAAACATGCATACATGGTCAAACAACCTCACAGTCAAAATCCATTTTGAAACTATATTAAAATCCATTTGCCAGTATCAGTAAATGGAGAATTCTTCTCTTCAGCTTGCCTGTGGTGGGAATTACAAAACCTTATGTCTGAATTTGTGCCTTGAATGCTCTGGCATCAACACCTAAGTAATGAAACCTTCACTAAGCCAGTTTGTAATCCAAAAGAAAATACAAAGTTCATAGAAGGAAGAGCAATGTTATTTAAATGCCTGTGAAGCTACTAGGGAAAAAAAAAGCTAAGAAATTTGTCAGTGTCTGTGTTCCTAGCTACCAGATCTGGTTTAAGTTTCTGATGGAGTAGTCTTCCACTGGAAAATGCTGATTTAGTGAAATCATGATGTTTCTCAGAAATGCTGACTTAATAAACGCTTGATAAAAAAAATTCAGAAGCCCATAGCACTGGAATTAAAACATTTTACTCAAAGAAAGTGATTCAACTTCTATTGAAATAAAATGGAAGAATTGTTTATTGGAAAACTAAACTCTCCCTGCTTCCAATTCCAAAACGAATACAGTCTACAAACCAACTGCCTTTTACAGCAGTCAATTATTGAAACTTTACACAGCAACAAAAAAATCCACCACAACTCAGCTGAAAACACGCCCACATGTATATCCATTCAGCCATGGCACTGACATAGGAACATCATGGCACACAGCTTTTAGGAGACAGGTCCCTACAGCAAACCTGAGCACCATGCCAACCCTTCAGAAAGCAAGAGAGATTACAAAACTCTTATCAATCTTCCCCTTTCCTCTTGCTATACCACATCTTGTACATCTTCTGAAACCTTTTTCTTCATTACTGAAATACAAAACTTCATGCTTCCTGAGCTCAAGCAGATATGAAGGATAATATTACATAAAATTCATTGTATTAGAGAAAATTCACCGTATTTAAGAGGAAGAGAGGAGTGTGCAAGCTTTAAACACTCAACTAAAATAGCAGCTCTGGTCTAAACTTATGAAACTTATGAAATGGAATGGTGTCAACCAACAGACTCTAATTCTCTAGAGTATTACGAATTTTGAAGTTGGATTTTTCCCCCTTAGTACTGTTTTACTGGGTTACAGAAAACAGAGAACAATTAATTTTGATACTCAAAACAATTCTTGTGCTTGCTTGTGACAGACTGATGCATTAGACAAAGTCGAATTGGCTCATGGCTCTGTTCTTGAAGGGTCAGAAGACTGAACTCTACTGGCCATCCCATTCTTCTGCAGAGAAAAAAAGTGTGAGTCTGTGAAACATGACATGACTGAAGGGAAAAATGTTTTGTGCTCCCAGTTAAAAAACTGTGAAGTGAATTCTCATTTTGTGGTTTCAGCTACTGATCACTAAAACTCCTACCAGTTTTGGAAACATGCCCAAGTGTAACAGTACAGAGAGCCACAGTTCAATTATGCCACTGTGTCTGAATCCAGGAAGGCAATTAAATTAATTCAAATACACTCTGCTGAATACCTGTCACATCTGCTTCTGATTACTCTTATTAAGCCCAAAAAGGCAAGGAAAAATGCATTTATTCTCTCTACAAACACACTCTCAGGAGTTTTCAGCAATATCAAAGAAGAGCTATCTCACTCTATTAAAAACTGTTCTTCAGTAAATGGGTAGCACAGATTTAACTATGGGCCTCAAGAGAACCTCTGTGTGGGTGGCTGACAACTCACCTTTGAACACCAAACACATCACACACTGACTCAACACCCTGCTCTGAGCAGAGCTGTGCCACTCTGGCAGAAGACACAGCTCCATGAAACTTCTACTGTTTCACAGTGGAAATGTGCAGGTCTCAAGTGCAGAGTGCTTTTGGGCAACACACAATACACAGACACTGAAAAGTTAATCTGAAAGCCCCCAAGAGCTTCTTTCTTATTAACAGGTAGTGGGAGAGAGGGTGGGAAAAGCATCTAAGGCATCCCTGCATGGGAAGGTGCAAAACAGATGGTGCTGACACACACACACATCCCTGCCACATGTCAGACCCTCCCTTCCAGATGAAGTTTTTTAGAAGTCAAATGGATGTGCTTTCCCATGCATGTCAGGTACAGGGATGCAAGCTGCCCCAGGATGTAAAATTCATCTGCCTTGGCCCCTCTAAAGTTGCCAATAAAGATAAACTGGCAGATCCTGTGACAGAGACCAGTTTTTTCCAGGAAGAGAAGGAGAGTTTCGTAAAACACTAATGAAAACTTACTCAGCATCCAACTCGTCACAAATTCAGATTTTTGGTCAGTATCGTACAAGGAGTGATAGCTTCCACTGTTCCCAGATATCACCCACCTCTCCTAAGCATATATGGAGTATAGTTTCTTTAATCCTGCAATGGGACTTTCACCTGCTCTGTAGAAGTGCATGCTGTCTTCTACATTCTGAAACAAAGATGTTTTGTTCAACTAGAAAATCAATTGAAAAATCAAGGTTAGTGCTCAATCTTTGACCAGTTAAACCAAAAGAAAGAAAGATATATTAATCTACAGGGATATCTTTCTTCTCAAAAACATCAGAAATTAAGAGGAGATGTGATCAGTAAAACACTACAGAAATGTCAGTACACTAGAGGTGCAAGACTGTGGAAAGCATGAAGGTTTTTCATTCTGACAAAAAAAAAAAATAGAGAATTCACAGGCTTACTGGCTTGCCACAAACCTCAGAGGATGGATCTAGTTCTACTGGCAGTATCACAGACTTGCAAAGAT